TGGCTGACCTTGCCGAGGATGAGTACTGTATGGGGAGACCCATCCGGCCGCTGTTCATCAACGGTCTGGTCAAGGTGGGATATAACGGCCTGACCAAGGACGGAGAGCTCCTTGTGCAGCTTGTGTCCAACCCACATGGAACAGGGTTTGGAGTGAGAAGATTAGGCGTGGTAGATGGGTGATGCATGCAGCTTTGTGCACTATTGAGTAATGCACAGCTGAGCGACCAAGGGGAATGCACGCTTACCATCTTGCGCCCATCTTGTGCCCGTTGTGCAGACTGGCAAGTCCTACATGCTCAAGGAGGTTCTGCCTGCTGTGGCCAACACCTACTACAGCAGCGGCGGCAGTGGCCGGCAGCACGCTGGCACGGTGCTTTCAGAGCCCAACTTCCTGCACGTGAACTGCTTGGGCTGTGATCGCAGCAGAGGTGTCAGTGGCTTCCTTAAGGAATTCCTCGCTGTACTCAAGCGGAGCGCCGCCAAACAGCAGCTCTCTGCTGCCGCCAGCACGCCTGCACCCCGCGGCAACTCGGCTGTCACCGCAGCGGGCGCCATTCAGGACTTCATGGAGCGCCTGCCACGGGACCGCCTGAACTTCCTGCTGATTGACGAGGCGCAGAGTTTTTACCTGCTTGAGCGGGCTATGCCCGGCAAAAAGTCGCCCGGCAAAAGTCCGCGGCGAAAAGTCGCTGTCCGCGGCTCAACACTGGACGAGGATGCAGTGCGGCACATGCGGCGGTAAATCAGCACAAGGTTTCCCTAACCGTGTCGTGTGATCACATGGGCGAGGATGAGGGGCAATGGCCAGTGAAACGCGCCCAGGTGGAGCTTCACACGAGGGGCAGAAGGCACTAAGGGGAGATCGCTGCGAGATTCAATTGTACAACATAAGCATATTGCACAAGGGGCAGAGGTCTGCACGCATGCCTACAGCAGGCGTACGACACAAAGGAGCTGACATATGGACCATTTTCCTTCCCTCAACTGTCGTGTGTACTGCAGCATCTTCAAGGAACTCCTGCTGGACAGCCCCCACTGGGTCGCCTGGGCCGTCACGGGCAGTTCCATGGCGACGCTATGGGCCAACGTTGCAGTCACCCGGTGAGCAATTGGTGTTGCAGCAGGNGGGGGGGTAGGCACTTCTGGGGGGGTGCATATGCTTCATTCTCAAAGAGCTAGACGGGAGCGTTCTATATCTGCTTT